ACCTAAGAATGACGAGATTTTCGTGGCATTTACTACATTTATTCAATTAAATTCGGTGGGCGGTGCAAGCGTTTTTCAGCGACGAAAATTAAAGAAATAATAGAGATGACTTCATCGTCCTGTGATTACACTCAGATGGCGCCATTTTCAAATCAGTATACTGCGCTATTGTGCTGAGTTAGTGCGCTGACACTTCAGACGGCCGCCCAGTGTTGCCACTTTGTGCGTAATTCCTCAAAACGTGAGGAATTTTGGGTGCGCTTGAGTATTTTTAAAGGATTTTTATTTTGAGGAATTTTCTCTCAATATATTTGCAGATAACAAATGCAACCATGTTTTACACAACAGAGTTCTTAAGTCGCTCTTAAAATTTTTGAACAAAAAGCTTTCTGAAGTTTTATAAAGAGCGAAATACACAACACAAGCAGCTTGTCAAACACTCTTCAAACCTACTTTTCCCATCTCGTCATAAACTATGCAAACATGACTCGTTCAAGCAAAAAGTTTTGGTTTTCTTCCGGTTCACAATGTAAAAGGGTTTGGTTTTCTTCGATTTTTCTCTTGCGTCCTCATTCGGTAAAAATTCCGTTGCGAATGCGGCGATTTTATCATACACAACTTAAGGGGTTTGATCAAACGTCAGCATGGCGTCCAGAAAATCAAAAAATTAAGAGTTTTGTTCACATTTCCCTCAAACGGCTCGTCAAACCTTCAAACACCCCCATACACAACATTATTTCATACCTTTAAACAAAGGATTATTTCGCTTGGTTTGTCAAGCACATCTGCACTTGCTGCTAAATATTCAAAATGTTATCGCTAATATTTTGACATTATTTTGAACTTGCAAAATCTCGGTAACAAACGGAGAGAACACGCATTGTTCGATCATAAGGATATTCACATTGATTCTTCACTAGATCTAGAAAATTATAGGGAAAAGTTTTTGAATTAAAATATTCTTCAGGTTCATTAAAGTTTCCCTATTCAAAAAAAAATATTTTATCTACATTTCTAACATAGCTAATGCTTCAGTAGAACGTATATTTAGTAGTTTAAAAAATATTGAGCACTGATATAGTTGCAGCAATATTATACAGGGTGTCCCAGAAGTAACGTGCCAAACTTTAGGGGAAGGTAGGTGGGAGGGTGGGCTCACTGATAAGCAAAAAATTTTCAAGTAAAAGTGTCACCGTTTTTGAAATATTTACATTTTTTTCGAATTTAAAAAAAATCGTGCCTTTTCATGTGTT